TGAATTACAATTACGTTTTTGTTTAATTACCAAAATCTTATAATAATGCAAAGTTTCTCTCTTTGTGGTAATCTGTGGAATGATTGACAAGAAAACTTATTCCCTCAAAAATACTAACAAATTTCTTAAAAACTGAATTGCAAAGGCAATTCACATTCTTTCAGTGCTTCATATCCCGAAGTTCTGTTCTAGAGGACAGAAAGAATTACACCTAGGATGGAATATATCATTCAATAAAATTAGAGCCACATGAGTTGGTGACAGTGACACCTAGTCAGACCCAGGCAAAAAAAAACACTTTCAAGGCTGGGCAGCACTTAGAATTATCCAGCAACGGGAAGGCCCAATCTCCTTCCTATCACAGTATCTGAAAAGTACTGGGAGATGAAGGGAGAAAGAACAGTTTGATCTGAATAATTCTCATAGGTAGATCAGAACTCAGTGAGAAAACACATCTGATATGCTGTGTTTTCTGTAATAAAACCTGCAGATGCAAGAAAGCATAAAAAATGGATTTTACCATGCTGAAATTCGGTATCTGACAGCTTTGTGGGCCTTAACATGTCGAGCTGTGCTATCTAAGAGATAAAAAAAGAGTACATTCCACTCAGCTGGCAGGCTAGGATGGAATCTGATATGTCAGTGGTCTACATGGAAGAGAAATTGCCCTGGAATTTGACACTTATCCCCCAGAAAACGTGTAACACCATTTTACCCAGCATAGCCAATTTGCTTCAAAGCTGACAATGCCTAGTAAGTTACGGAGAAAATCTTGACCTTCAAGTTTAGAGTTCTTCATGCCTGTTTCTTCAGGAGCTCTGTGTGTAGTGTACAGAAGTCAGAGATGAAATTAATTACAGTTTAATCACAGATTAATTAGGGCTGTATGTTCTCTCTTTACTAACAGCTGAAATAAGGTAACCTATCTTCTTCATCATAGAATGATACAACTATCAACAGATCAGACTAAAGCACTTCAGCTACCTTACCCTCAAAATCTAATCAGCATGTCAGGATGAAATTCTCCAGTAATTTAGGCTGCAAATCATGGAGTTTTACTCGTGTTTACAGATTTTTGAATGTTGATACCTACTTTGTGTAGATGCCATCGTGCTTTGTTAGAAATAGTTTCTGATATACATATAAAGAATCCAGAAGGCTCATTTGATAAGAAGGTATTTTGTTACTTATCCATTTCATCTAGCTTGATCTTGATGCCAGTAAAGTCGTAACTGAACAAAAAGTTTACCTGACCCCCACAACCTGCAAATCTGTTTAAACTGAAATTCAGCTCTTTCCACTATAAGGACATTTTAACTATTGAATACTCTAGATAGATAGAGTAATAGAGTAGATAGAGCCACTGTATAGTCACAAGGAAAAAACAAACAACACGTACTTGTCTGCTTGCACATAGCTCCTAATCTATAAATTACATATGAAATTATTCAAGTTTGGATGTGAAAAAAAATTACCAAATATAATTGGTATTGCAGATTCTAATTAAAGCATTCAAATACATTTTACACAGCTTCTGGATACGTAGTTTTCCAGCAGCAATTTGCTGGATAGTTACTGCAATATAGAAACAATATTAACTGACAACTCTGTGCCACAAAGTATTCAGAAGACTCCATCTGAAAACTGTGGAAGACACTGGAAGGAAAAGACAAAAAAGTATACACACTAATCCATTCACTTTTCTTGACATTTCAGTAAGCATTCCATTCTTAGGACAGGACAGCACAGCATATCACTTCCTTTTCACAATAGCCAAGTTTTTTTGGTTGCTTTTTTTTTTTTTTTTTTTCAAGAAAAAAACTTTCTGCTCCAGTCCAAGACCCTCTTTTTTTCATACTGTTTATAGACCAGACACTCGTTAACCTCTCAGATCTCTAGAGAGTTGAGGTTTAAGGGAACTCAGGAGGAAAAGACAAATTTGGAAACCCATTTATCCAACTCACTAGAATTGAGACATTATGGTTTTCATTCTTCCCCCACTCCCCAAAATACCAAATTTCCATCATCAGAGCTTTCTGAATAAACGAACATTTTGTTACTGAACTCAGGAAGAAAGAAACCACATGCCTGTTAGGGACAGAGAGAGGAGGAGTGGAATATGTGCTTGGGAGCGTGTTTATTTGACTGGATAGCAGACGGTCAACCAAAGAACATGTAGATCATATATTTTTAAGCATTTCATGATGTCATATTATTAATTCCAGCCAAACCACCAAGACCAAAATTGTCTGAAATTGGTGCTTCTGTGTCCTGACCCCAAAGCCAACAATGGTTGCATAAAAAAAATAATCTATGTTCCTCTCAAGATTAATATTTTGTTTTAATCAATTAGAAGGCAGTGCCCTTTAGAGCATCTACAGAAGACAGGTCTCCTTAGCTAACAAACTAAAATATGGTCCCGGGTAAATTTTACTTTCAGGAAATCAAAATGTTGAAATCCTTGAGAGAGGGAGGCTATAAGCAGAGGGCTCTTCTAAGGGAAGGAGTTTTTATTGAAGCTGTCACTTGTCATTAAACACTCCATATTTTACCATAGCTTGATATTTTCATTAGAGCATACAGACCTTTTTCATCCGTGAATGAAAGCATTCCCTTCAGCCTTGTGTTGAATATGAGGAAAGACTCTTAAAAATTGAGCCCACCCAAACGGGACAGTTAGATTCACAGAAGCAGAGAATGAACCAGGGAAAGTCAAGTAATATTAACAGTGTGGTAACTTACACACTTTAATGTTAAGCATCACACGCAACTTCAGTCAGTTCTCACATGCATTTGTTAGTATCTGTATTTATCTCAGAAATACTTGCATATGATTATAGGGAAAGCAGCAGAACTACTGAAGACACGACAAAATAACACTAGAGAAAATGAGAAAAACATCAAATAATTTGGCTTCCTCGAAAGAAACAACTGTATTTATCTCTAGTCCCTAGATTCAAGCTGTTTACTGTGATATTTAAATTAAAAAAATAAAGAGGAAATAAGTACAATTATGCTATTCTTAGCTCTATATCCACTATCCATCTCTACCACTAAAACACTCTAAGTAAAGAATTGGATAGTACATTGCAAGGACAACTGTACATTCTCAAACAAGTCTGATACAAACCAGCACCATTCTTTTAACATGTCAATTTCTGAGTGAAGGCCGTCTCATGCTGCCTCCAAAGCTACAAAATCTCTTTGAAATATCAGAAACTTAACTAATTTTAATAGGAATTAAAGTTATCAATAACTGGAGGATCATTGTTCACCCATTGCTATGTGTAGCTGTACAAACACATTGCATAACTTATTGTTTCTAAAAAAAGAGTAATTTTAGTATGCTAACAGGAGCTGAGAGAAAACAAATGTCAGGCTTTTTTCAGTGCATTCCATTTGTGTAACAGAAAGAAAAACAAAAAGTGAAAGAATAATGTCAAGGAAAAAAGGCAGTAGGGTAAGCCATGCTTTGAAAGAAATAAAATAAAGATGAACACGTGTGATAGTATCATTTGGTAAGTACAACAGGCAAAAAGTTGAATGACAGATGTCAAGTACTACTTACCTTTCCTAACTTAAAATACAGATTTATACAAATTGCAGATTAAAAATCTAACCATATACTAGATTATTTTTAGGAATTTTAAAAGACAGTTCACTAATACAAGGAGGATTGTGTTATTTGAACTTAAGCTGCCACATAACAAGAGCCTTGTGCATTGCCATAGCATTACGGCCACAAAACCCATTAGCAGATGTAGAAAACCCACATCCCCGTCTTTTAAAAAAGCGTGTAGTTATGAAATCATTTTCATACACTTGGAACTTAACTATTTCAGTGCAACGCACATGCAGGACTTGAACTAAGGGGAAAACCACAAAATGGTGCATCTGAGAGCGTTCCACATGGACACATGTTTCTGCGGTTCTTTCAAAAGTTCTTAAAGAGTTGAAACCATCCCACTGGAATTCCACAGAACAGAGTAAAGAAGTATCTGTTTAAATTAAGGAGGGGATTTGTCTTTGCTTGCGAGCTATTAGGATTTATTCTATGCCTTTATTGTAGTTTTAGTAGCAAACACAGCTGGTACCAAGAACCAGGATTTAACCTAGGATAACAAAGAAAACAGCTTTGAGAAAGCACGTTCTCTAAAGATTTTGAAAAGAATTTTAACAGATCTCAAGGGTAGATTTTGATTCCCATGTTTATTTTCACTCACCAAAAGGAAAGCTGCTTTTGTAAATTTAAGAAATCACAGGAAAAATATTTATTATCTTCTCTCAGAATCATGCAGCCTTCATTCTATTTCATGGCAGCAGTATAATGTTTCTATGACAGCACTTGAAAACTGAACTGCTTGATAAACCATCTACAGCTGTTATCAACCTAGAGCAGACTGAAAAGTATTTCAGTTGGTTTCATACTGGTGACTTTGTATGCCTAGACAGATTTGAGATAACCAGAATTTGGTATGGCAGCAGCATGTTATGATTTCTACAGTAATGCAAACTGTCTAGTAAGCATACTGAGAGTTCATGAGGTAGAGTAGGTTCTTGTCAAGTAAGGCCGAGTAAATGCAGAAAACAAGACTCTTCAGTTGCGCCACAAAAATTTCTATATACTATAACAATACTTACTTTTTTTCATTTCCTGAAGAAAAGGAACAGTATAAGGTAAAATCAGCTAGGAAAACATACAAAACAGCAAAATAATAAAGCTTTTAGAAGATTAGCAAAGGAAGAAATGCCACACCAATTTGAATGTTAAAATGATCAAATTATTTCAATGATGCACTTCATAACTGAACTGACAGTAAAAACCCTTTTTTCCAGGAAGAAAACAGAAAGGCTGCTTTCTTTGAAGAGCTGTAAGATAGATGTCTCCTTTTAAATAATCAGTGTGTAATGGCTATGAAAATAGATCAGCAGGTACAGCAAGAGGTGATGTAGCTTACTGGCCCATTGGCCATATTGCTTTTATCCAATTCTCATGTTACCTGAAGCTGTTGGGAGCTGTCATTAAGATTATCCTCTCGTCTCCTGGCCTCCTCCAGCATTTGTGCACTCTTCTTCTTCTCCACTTGCTCTTTGTGCTTCAGATTTGCTACTTTCTTATTTTGATCTTTAACTTGCCTGAAAGAGAGAAGAACATTCAGAATGCAGTTCAGCTTCTGGTCAGACCTAGTGCTTGTGAGCTGGACTGGCGAGGAGTGGTGCCCTCAAATACAGTCACTTTCCACATGGAAAAACTGATTTATCCTCTAGCATTACCATCAAATGTTAAGTCAATCTAATGAACACATCATTTTACTCATTACTATTAGCTTAAATGTGAAAATTTCTGAAACAAAAACCTTAAAATAACTATTTAGTATAAGCTATTAATCAAGAGACACATTTGTCCTCATGACTGAGGTATGTATTACAAAGAAACCTTTTCTCTGTTCATGCAGACACAGACATATAAAAATGCACACACTTAAATAGTCCATTTTGCTTTGAGTATCACTATATCTAACATAAGCATAACAGGAGAATTGACAGGAAAACGACTGCAGCATTCCTTGAACATAGAAGACTATCCGCAATATCTAGGCAATCTCTTTCCAGAACTATTTATTTTCAAAATCAAGTTCTATTTGTTTACTAGATATTTTGAGCAATTTCCTATCCTTTCTTTTCACAGAAAGGAGCAAGCAAGAACAAACTATTTCAGAAAGCATGCATAATTTCCTTTTCACTTGCATCTATGAATTATTTTTGATGATCCTGGCAACTACCATTGCTTGCAGACAGGGTTTGGCCTTTCTGGGCATTAAGACACATGGAGTATTGAATCTAATTACAGACCCTTTAATCTCAGCCTCCAGACCACAGAGAACTTAAGTCTAAACTTTAAGTCCAATCAAAACAAAACAGGCTAGCTTTGCTTCCTCAGCCCTTTTCTCCATAATTATATCTGGAGTTTGGATTTTGGAATAAAAGATGAATTCTTTGGTTGCAAGATTTCCCCAAAACATCATGCAAGTAGTAGAGACAGCTCTTTAATTTACTGTTTAGAAAGCAGAATGATATACTAGCTTCCTATCTGGTATGTTATCCACACAGAGAAGGAAGAATGTTTCTTCTGTATTTCAGAAATACTTTTAGAATAGATCACAAACAACTCTGCTTTAATATTTTCTTCAGAACTAGTAACAACAGTGTCATCAAGAAAATACCTCTTTGCAATATATATGTTCAAATTACGTGGCATAGGCCTAGTTGGTGATTCGAGCTCTTCCAAAACTGGAGGTTCAACACTGAGCTGTACTTTCTGCAATGTAAGCCAGCTGGAGCTGGAAAAGTTGCAAAGATAGCAAATTTTCCTTGGTGCTAAACAAACTTCTATTAGTGAGAAAAAGTGCTGACATCCTCCAGAGACTGAGAATAAAAGAAAAGTCCTTTTCTGATGATGTTAAAAAGTTATTGGCATATTTAAATACCTTTTCCAACATTACAGCTGATTTGAGTCAGAATGCTTTTTAAACACAACTAGTGTAATTGTTAAGTTGCTCTAACCCAGGGCTGCTCACTGCGTATGGGCACACTGCCCAGGTTTAAAGCTGACTTGCTCAGTGATTAAACAACATATTGGAAATATTATGTTGGCACAACTCAGTTTGTACAATACATGGTTCTAGCCATCCTATAAAATAAACAGAGAAAGTACAGCTAAGTTAACACATAAAATGAAAATGTGCAAGTCCAACACATTCAGCTCCACATGAAGATTCTTATTCAACTTCTAGATTAAAAGTAGGGGAATTAATTATTTTTTATAAACTGGCAAGCTCAGATTCACCTGCTGGGAAAGTGGTATTATTTACTGTTATCTGCTGTTTAGATAAGAGACAACAACATTAATAGTAATAAATATTAAGCCTGATCAAAGTATGTATAAGGAAGATCATTTGTTGCACAGTCCAATATGTCTTTAAAAAGAAAACAGCAGCTCTTCAATGAAAGGATGTTTGGTGCAAAATTAATGCCTTCCAAACAATCAAGTAGATACTTGGAGACAAATTCAGGGTTTCCCAAAGCAGTTTAAAAAGATGTAGTCTTAAAGTTACCTAGTACTACTCAGTCTTATGTTTGTAATTGCCATACTGTTCAGAAACTCGAACTCCTATGCAGGATAAAACTGCTACTCCGTACCTTCATCAAAAAGCAACAAAAAGTTGGACAACAAACCTTTCAGATAATACAGGTATCTACAGCAATACCTTACTGCTGGGTAATTCTGTCATTGGGAGACCACCTTTTTGGATAATGACATTTCTGGAGGTTTAGCTCCTAAAAATAGTTAGCACTCAAGTAAAAAGTCTTTTGCAATGCTAAAAATCTCTCTCCATTTTGCAATGTCATGTCAAGTACTTGCAAATTTGAATCTATTAAAGAAAACAAAGTAGAATCGAAATCAGACTTCTAATTAAAAAAAAAAAAAAAGCAACAACTACAAAAAAACCCAAAGCTTTTTAATTACAGATGGGTCAAGATTTTCAGAAACAATCTTTTACACCTTTTGATTCTAGGTGCACAGTTTAAGCCAAAGACCCCCCCCGAGCAAAATTTCTGAAATTGGAACCTGAAAACAACTGTTCATTTCCATGACTTGAGCCTTCTTCTTCAATGAAGGACGAGGCTGCATCACTGATACAAATAAACAAACAAAAATCCAATGGCTTTTCTCTACAAAAATCTGGAATTTCTAGCAATGAGGGAATGCTATTATTCTGAACACCATAAAGAGAGAATTAACCAAAAAAAAAAAAAACAACAATAAAAACTTTCAAATGAGTAGATTTCAGATTTCCAGAGTCTTTTTCTGAGAGAGGAAAAAAAACAATAGAAAACCCGTGCATCATCAGGTATTCCTACAAAGTGGTAAGAAGACTGATCCAATTCAGTTTACTTCAGTTTACTACCTGCAAGTCCTTTGGAAGATTTTTCATTCCTAATAATATTAATTGTATTAAGGTTTAAATTAAGCTAAATTATTCCATACTACCCTAAATAATTTTGCATTTTAATACTAATTATCTTCTACAGTTATGCACATCAGTAGAAATAGCTGTTAATTATTTCCTTATATGGATTTTTATGCTACATGTTAACAGATAGTTATTTACTACCCTAATCTGATTATCTTTTCTGAGGTAATTTTAGATGTTCTTCTTCTAAAATATGTGACAAAAAGTTAAGCAAAAATATGCAGAAGTTAATTTTAATTTTCTACTATTGTTTTAATGTTTTCTTTCAAAGTTATGCACCTAAAACACAACGGTTTTCCTAATGATCCAAAAATAAGTGCACATTTACAATGTATTCAAATTGCTACAGAAACTTATCTTCAAGAAAAAAGTGGATACTGATTATATTTCAAACGATGAGTGTGTGCACTAGGAAAAAACACATTCATTTTGTTCACAGCTAAAGAAACCACCTGTTTATCTGACTTAGGTTCTTGGAAACTAATTTCACATTAAAAAGAAGGCACACTGTCAGTCAGCCATGTCAGAAAGATTGTGCTCAGCAACAGCCTTCATTAACGTAGCATTACCACCACCCACAGGACAGTGCACTGTTGCTGCAGCTACTAATCCTGATGGAAGAGGAACTTCACTGGCTTTAAAGCACACTGCTTCTCAACATAACTACACTGATGCAATACATATACAGTGAAATTCATTCAAAAAATGGCAAAATAATAATAATAAAGTATGCAATAATGTGCTATATTACTTAGTTTAATATTGCCAATGCTTATTATATTATGAAATATTGAATTACAATGTATAACATCATTGAATAGGACATCAAAACACTCTGAAGTCCTGAGAGACACTGAGGAGTACATTTATTCACATGCGGAATTAAATGGAGCAGCCATGTAAAGAAGTATAATGCTGACAGCAACTTAAGTCCGAGAACAAAACACACCATAACTGAAAAAAAATCCAGATAGCAATCCTGAAAGGCAGAAAACAATAAACTACATTGTCCAGATCTTTATTAGGAGTACTTGATCAGTGATTAGATTTAAAAAAAAACCATTTTTTTTTTACTGCAAAGAAGTCACCATCAATTCAAAGGGATGTTAATGACCTGAGCTGGAATGACTCAAAACTCAAAGGGAAGTGTCCAACTTACTATACTGCCAGCACAATTTCCTTCATCACTTCTTTGTTTTAAAGGTCATACAGCCATAACCTTCACCTTCGCTTAAGAATCAAAAGATCATAAGCACAGTGACATGAGGTGAGGAATTATTTTTATTTATTTTTTTATTTTGAGAGTTTTGGTGCGCAAAGAAAAACATTTACCTTTTGGGAAGTTAAGTAGAAGGAAGTCAAAGAGGAACTCTTCTCAAGAATGCTACTTGAGATTGAAAATAAGAAAAAAAATCCTTTTAAAAAGGTTTCGCTTTAGCGTTTAGTTGCTTAAAACTTACTTTACCTTACTTGTAGTTGATCACCCAGCCATAGAGAATAATGGCAGTATTTGGAAAGCCTAATTTCTTAACCTCAAGAAAAAAAGAAAATAATGAAAGTAAGTAAAATAAGTGATGTAGGAAACAGGACTGACCACATCATATAGTCCCATCACCACAACTGTGTGCCTGATTGACGGTCAAAGCAAAACTGCCAAAGATTGAACAAAGCTCCCTATCTTACTCATTGAAAATTTAGGATTAAGAAATTAACTTACTGCTGAAGCTCACTATGCAATTTAGTATGGCCAGATTTCTTTTTTTAGAGCATAAGCATTATTTGAGGCTGTTCCTTTGCTTTGTTGGGTTCTACTAAGCAATCTGAGTTTCTTAAGTAGTTATTTTACTGTTAAAAAAATGGTGCATTAAGTTACTAAATTAAAAAAACCACAATAATTTAATTATGCTTTTCAAATAACTCATTCTAGTACCACCACTCCTGTTCCACTTTGTGTATTAGATAAAAAATGGAGCAACACACATTCAATCAGCTTCTACTGTATGCACAGCTGACCAATTCCAGCATTCAACTACCTCTTCTGCTTGTGGTCTCCTCCAACAACCTCTCATCATTTTGTTACACTGCTCTTCTTCTTTTTCA